TTTCTTTCTTTCTTTCTTTCTTTCTTTCTTTCTTTCTTTCCTTTTCTTTTCTTTTCTTTTCTTTTCTTCTTTTTTTTTGGCAGAACCAGGGATTGAACTCAGACTCTTGTACTTGCCAGGGAAGCGCTTATTCTACTGAGCCATCTCCCCAGCCCCAAAAGTTCAGGGGGATTTTTTTTCTGGCTGGCTCAGGATGCCTTCAGGGCAAGTCTGTCAATGCTTGAGGATCTGGGGATCAAACCACAACATCCTGAGCCTGACTGCTTTGTTTAAGCAAGCACTTAAACAGCTGAGCTAATGGGCAGGCCCCCTCATTCCCCTTTTCTTGACCTACTCAAAGTTCTTCACGTTGTTCTAAAAAATATGGCTCTCCTATCAATATAATTCCCAACAGTTGTAAACAATGACTTGTCTATTATGTTAGTCACTATTTTAAGCACTAGAAATACAGTAAAGACCAGGACAAACCCTGGCTGCTGTACAGCTTGCATGCTCCTAGGGTGGTGGGAGCACAGGCAGGGACAACAAGTAAACAAATAAGGTAACCTAATTCTGTTATAATTGCTCTGGAGGTGGTTTGGCAGTTATGGCATGAAGGGATATTTGGGCAAATATTTGTTTTTAATCATCCTGGCTTTTGTTACACAAAAGCTACTTGGAAGAGGGCAAGAGGGCAAGGAGGGAGTCCAACTTGCTGGCTCTTTCAGGCCAGCAGGTAGAGATGTTATGGTGGGTACTAGAGTGGAAGGAGTGCAGATGGGGACCTGCGTGCAGGTGTTGGCATATTACAGTTGGGGCCAACAGAACGTGGATGCGCAGGGTGAAGGCAATAGAGAAAGCAGAGGATGCCTATATTTTGCATTGGAATAGTTGGACTCCTGAGGTGAGAAGACTGGAGTTTTAATAGAATCCTTTACATCAGTACTGAAGTCACCAAGAATGATGACCAGATAGTGGAAACATCAGTAAATGGCTTCAAGTGAACGAGAGGCAGTATGCAAGTGTATCCGATAGTCATAAGTTTGTGCTCTGTGAATATTTATCAATATTCTTAAAGATTTTCTTTTCTCATTGAATCTCTTTCAGGAACAAGTTCCTTGCCCTTTTAAAAAGACAATCACTAAAATAAGTCTGCTGAAATGTTTTGTTGCCTCTTACTACATTTGCCTCACGTCTACCTTTGTTTATATCCCTCTTACTAAAATGTTTCCCTGATGTGAGAGAAAATGGTAAAATTACTTCCTTCTAAAGTCACTAAGGTGCTACAAATAGTCAAAGTCCTAGTTACCGGTTATCAGGGAAATGACTAAGAATGCTTTTTTGTGTCACATGGATTTCTAGTGATGGGAGTCCTGGTTGGAAATTTGCCTTAAATAATACTGAGGAATCTGCACCATCTTACTGTAAAAATGTTCACTCAGTTATATATCTGACCTTCAAATTTGAAAATGTGATTTCTTGACCCTTTTTTTTCTTAAAGTATTTTTTACAGACTTTAAAATAACATATTCTTTGATTTTAGGTACTTTTGAAGAAATTATAAATTAACCAAATTTTGTACAGCAATTCATTGCTTTTACTATCATCGTGGGTATATGCAGAGATACCAGCAACATTAAGCTAATGATTGAACATAATTATGCTCATTCTAGCACCTATTCAATATAACTTGGCAGAGATGTACTGGGGTGGTGTGTGCCCAAAACATGCCAGATGAAGTGTGATAGTAAGGAATAAAACCAGTGTTAGGCAGAGATCCTCCTCAAATGGAGACTTGACAGCTAAAAACTATGGGGAACTGATCCAGCAACTGATCCTAGAGCCTCGAGTGGTGGCTGGACAGAGTGAAGACTCAGTCAATATTTGTTCAATGGACTAATCTATCTCTGGGATACACTTCACCTCTCAAAAGCCCTACCTATGTGTGCACGAGGCTTGTGAGGTCATCTAGATATAAACCAAAGTCATCTAGGAAGATGGCTGTACCTCATGGCCATAATGAAATAAGTCAAGCACACAAGTCTAATTATCACATGGTTGCTCTTATATGAGAAACCTGAATTATAAATAGAGTACAATAAAAGATAACAGGATATAGGGAGATACATCTTTCGCAAATTAGAAGGGGAGCAAGGGGACCAAGACATGAAGAAGGGGAGGTGGAAAAGGAAGGAAAAACTTAAGATATGCTATGTGCATACACCAACTCTGCACAAGGTATTTAGACATTACGTTCTGAAAACGTACTCACAAATTTTAAAAAAGCAAGATTCACATTATTTGAAAAAGACATAATTAGAATATTAATTCTCACTTTCTATCTACACCTCAGAAATGACTATATAAATCACGGAAATAGACTGCACACAGAACTGAAAGAAGTAGTGGCTTCCACGTGCCTTGGGTTGACCCCTCAGGGCTCCAGAAAGAGCCATTATGACTACTAGAAAAAGGGAAGGAAAAGAGATAATTTGGAACGTATAACAATTTTTCCCTTGCCAGTGTTTTTAGAAAGCAGTAACAGTTTATATTGCCAAATACTATTAGCCATTTTTACACTCTAACACGAAGCTTTACGTGTATTACTCAAAGTACTCATGAACTCAAGAGAGCAGGGCATTCAAGCCAAAGGCACGCTTGAAGCTATTTACAGCACAAACATCTGGGCTGAATGCAGTACTGTATGGAACATTTTGTGAGTCTTATGGAGAATTAAATTTAGACATTGTTATCAGGTAATTGTTATGCATCATTGTGCTCAGCATCCACCCCCGCATATTTCCTTTTGGTAACAGAACGTACACATTCTTGCTTCACAATAAACTTTCAAGACTACTGAACCCTAACTATGTAGTGCAGGTGGCTATGTATGAGTGCTTGGCTGCTTCATTCATTTCTGTCATCTTCTATATTAGTTACCATCTTACAGTGGTTTGTGACTTTTACTTCCAGTGTACTTTTCTGAAAAATAAAGTATGAGTCAAGAATTTGTTATCAATCAAATTAAAGAGCAGGGGAAAAGGGGTCAGAATACAGGAGCAGCATCCCATAATCCAAACCCCGCCACACACACACACACACACACACACACACACACACACACTCACTCACTCATATAACCTGCTAGAATTGGCAATACTTTTGACAACGTAGCCCCCAAGTAATGAGTTTACTACCTCTTGAATGTAATTCATATCACCAAATGACCTTGAGTTACTACTAAATAATGGTTGGATAATATAGGAAACACTCTATTGTGTAAAAATACATCTTTTTTTTTAACCCTTCCTCAGTTGATGGGCATCTGGCTTGTTTCCAAGATTTAGCTATGACACATTGCGTTGCTATAAACATGGGTGCACATATATCACTGTGGTATGATGTTTTCAGTTCTGGAAAAACACCCAGAAGGGGAATAGCTGGGTGGAATGGAGTTTCCAATCCTAGCTTTCTCAGGAATCTCCATTGCCTTCCATATGGAGCATTACTCAGCTATACAAAAAGATAAACTCGAGGCTTTTACAGGTCAATGGACGCACCTAAAACCATACTCTGTAAATAAATGAAATGAACTATACATGTACAAGCATACTGTCTTGCTACTGCAAGAACCTGAAAATAAATAAAACCTGAAAGGTGCAATAGATACTGTGAAAGGGAAAGAATCTGTTCAAACGGGAGGAAAAACTGGGGTGAGGGAAGGCAGAAAAGGAGGACGAAAGAAGTATTTATGTATACATACAAGATATCTTGGACAATTACTGCTTTCTGCTGGTCTACTGAAAGGAGCAGTGAAGACTTTTTAAAAAATTTCTTGTAGCTTGTTTTTAAACAAATTTCACATATTTCTATCTGGCAATCTAAACTAGTTGAAGACAAGTATTCAATATAACAACTATCATCTAATTGCTATTATTTTGTTTAGTGAAATTCTGTATCATTTTTTTAAAAACTATTTTGTAGTCTCTTTGAAAAAATTTTAAAAAGTACTGGAAACACCAGCTGTAGTCCTTTGAGATGAGTTTTCCCAAATAACACATTTTAATGTAAAGAATGAAATGGCCTCATGGTTTTAGAGCTAACTTTTGCAGTTGTGTCCCAACCCGAGTAGAGAAGGCAATGCATTGTTTTTAAATTCAGAAAATCAATTCTCCAATAAATCAATATTAAATGATTCTAGATTATCTTTAAAAGGAACACTATTTTAGTTTGTAGTTTCTCTTTACAAATTTTTACCTTCATCACTCATCCCTGATGAAGTCTGAAGATTTTAAGAAATCTCAGATACTGACTACAAAATTCTCCCAACAAAAATGACTTGAAGTACAGCAACTCTTGGCTGACTGAACAGGGCAATTAGTTACAGAAGCTAGAATGGAGGAACACATCAAGGCAGTGTAAGCTCCCAATTTATGGAATAACCTCCTACTGCTATGTCATTAGTCAATACAGCAACAATGAATTTAGAGAACAATCCAAAAAGGACCCAAAATTTTACTGGAACTGCCCAACTTTGCACAATAGTACTCACTGTGACAATAAACCAAGTAATTTAATAGTTTAAGGGATCCACAAATCGCCCCAAATCAATGGGAAATTGCATCCTGCACATATTTTTCTGAGAGAAGGGGCTCATAACTTTGATCAATTTCTAAAGGGCCACAAAAAGGCTAATAGTACATGCAAGAATTCTCATCTTTGTATTTTCAGTAACTAAAGTTGGGGACCACAGGAAGCTCTTTATATGCCTAAGTCCATTTAAAGAAAGGAGGGTAGGAAACAAAACAGTTAATTTGCAAGGCCTGCATCATTTCCTTTGAGTTAAGGAGCATATTCTGGTTTAGAACAAAGTGGCAACAGAAGTGATAACATGAATTGGAAGCAGGGGACTTCTAAGGGATTATGACTAAAGCAACACCATGAACTTAAAATGAAATTTAGCCAGGTGTGCGGGCATGGTGGCGCATGACTGTAATCCCAGTGCTGGGGAGGCTGATAGGAGGATCGCTGAGTTCAAGCTATGTAGTATGACCTGGTACCAAACAATTTTTTTAAAAAAGACATTAAACCAGGTGTGGTGGCACAAGCCTTTAATCCTAGCACTTGGCCAGCTGAGGCAGGAAGAGCGCCATGAGTTTGAGCCCAGAATGGACTACATAGTGAGTTCAAGGCCAGCCTGAACTACTTAGCAAGACCTTGTCTTAAAAAAATGCAATTTTGAGACTGGGCATGGTGGCACGCGCCTGTAATCCCAGCTCTTAAGAGGCTGTAAACAGGCGGATCACTATGAGTCCAATCTAGTAGTGAGACTCTGAACACCCCGTAAACCTTCCCTAATAAAAAAAAATTTAATTCCAGTCCAATTTTGTTTCTGCATATTATCAACTTTTTATTTTTGAATATCACAAACTTCAATCAATACTTTTTAAAAATATTATTCTGCATGCACTTAACAAATTTGACAAAAAGACAAGTATCCCATTTATTTGCATTATAACAGCTTTAAATGAACAGCCAATTAACATATATTTAAACTTATTAGCTACAGAAGACGATGAAAAAACTTTAATGCAATAATCTGAGGGCGTCCTACCACTATGCACACGTTTATGTAACACTACTAGTAATGGCCTTGAAGCACAGGCAAATGGAGATGGACACTCCCTAGACAGCAAATTACGGGATTAGACATCATCACCCCCGTCGTCATCACTGCTGAGAACAAAGCTACTGTCTGTGGACAGGAGCTCCTCTTCCTTAACATTTTCCAAAGTCCCCTTCTCATCAGAATCATCAAATACCTTCTCAAACTTCTCAATGGAGTTGTCATCTTCGAACAACTTTTCCTCTACATCTTGGTCTTTTCCATCT